TTAAATAACTATATCTTTAAAGAAATCCAACAAAAGGTATTATTATTAATCATCTAAATGGTAAAGATGTCTATCATGGTGTACCACATGATTATATTGGCGATGTAAAATACTTAGAGAAATTATAATCATATATTTATTTTTGATTTGTTCTTTTTTTAGGATGTAACCCCTCAGAACTTTATTAATGTATTACTCGGTAAAAAAGAAGCTATGAAAGGTACTGGAAGTGGCAAAGTTCTTGAAAGGTATGTACGTAGTTCATCATAAATATGAATTTATTTTTTATTTTTTTTTAGTGGTCCTAATGATAATGTCTTTGTTTATTTCACTGATCATGGTGCTACTGGTAAGTTTTCATATTTCGATCAATATATATTTATGAATTTTTCTTTTCATATAGGTCTTATTGCTTTTCCAAATGACGTCGTATGTTATATATTTTTAATATTTTCTTGTATTATTTTTATTTTTATTTTTGTATAGCTTTATGCCAAAGATTTAAACAAAACAATTACTCAAATGTACAAAGGAAAGATGTACAAAGAGGTTGATTATTAATTCTTTATTGTTTTCTAAAACAATATATATATATATATATTTTTTTTTTAAATAGATGGTTATCTATATTGAAGCATGTGAATCAGGTTCAATGCTTGAAGGTTTATTACCTGATCATATTAATATCTATGCTACAACAGCATCAAATGCTGAAGAATCATCTTATGCATGTTATTATGATGAAAAACGTCAAACATATTTAGGTGATTTATATTCAGTTAATTGGATGGAAGATTCCGATGCTGAAGATGTAACTAAAGAAACATTATTTAAACAATTTCAAGTAACTAAAAAGAAAACAACTGAAAGTCATGTTATGCAATATGGTGATCTTGTATGTATTTAAAATGAATATTATAATTGTAAAATTTTTTTATATTTAATCTTATTTAGAAATTAGGTGCATCACGTACTGTTAGTCAATTTCAAGGTGAAAATACGATTAATAAACCAGAACCAATGAGTCCACTTGCTGATCGTTTAAATACTTTACTTAAAGTAATATTGAATATTAAAAAAAAAAAAACAAGAAAGAAATGTTATAATTCATTGATTTCTATTTTCAGCGTGATACTGTTGCTACAGAAGATGTTCGTACAGCAATTTTATCTCGTCGTTTAGCTGCTTTACCACCTAATTCACAAGAAAAAGATGCAGTTGAACGTAAACTTGCTGAAGCTATTCAAGTAAATTGTTTCTTAATTTTTATTATTTCGATATGTATAATTGTATATTTTTTAATATTTTATAGCAACGAAGTGTTATTACTGCAACAATTAATTCAATCGCTAAGAAATCATTCGAAATCAATCGTGCTAATTATTATGAATTAGTTACAACACAACGTATGAAATTGACTGAACATGATTGCTACAAATCTGTTACACAACATATCCATGAAAAATGCTTTGATATTCAGGTTTGTTTGTTTGTTTGTTTAAATATTTATTTTATTTATTCTTTGATTTTCATTTTAGAATGAATATGTTTTAAATAAATTATGGATTGTTGCTAATTTATGTCAAGTTGGACTTCGAGATTTTACAATTAATAATGCTGTTAATGATGTTTGTAATGCTCTTGGACGTCAAACGTTTGAATATTAAATTAATCAACAAAATATTTAATAACATAATGATGTGACATTTTTTTTTCTATTTCATCTGTTTTTCTGCTTATTTGTGATAAAAACACCTACTATTGATAATATACATTCAAAGAGAATATTTTGTTTAATTTTTTTTGTAAAAAAGATTCTTTCATATGGGTCATTTCAGGGATAAAGAGACATATTTCACTTGCATTTGACTTTGATTGTTGACAAAGATTGTTTTTCTGAATAATTTCTTTTATTATAGACATATATAAAAATGTAGACTCTTCTAGCTGAGTATTACTTAATACAAGAAAAAACTCCGACAACTTTAGAATAGAAGCTATAGCACGACTTGCATCTATGAGGAAATTTTCAGCAAGATCGGACACATTGTTACGATTATCATCTTGTTTCTATATGACTATCAAATATGGACTACAGAAGAATAAATAGTCAAAATCATTATCCTTTCGATGACAATAAAACGTTACATTGTAAAAACCTAATTATTTTATAATAAATTTATCAGGAAGAAACTCAAAACACGACAACAATAGAAATAATATGCCAAATTTTGAATTGGATCAGGAAATTTATTTTTATTAGAAAAATGTACAGAAACGGTATCTATTTTTTAAATTTGGACTGGCATAAATAGAATATCAAAATGATACTTATACTTTTGAATTCAGTTGGGACGTGTGGAGTAAGAAAATACATTTCCATCCTATACATTTTTCTAGTAAAAATAATTCTTTTTCATTTGATCTAATCGAATTCATTATTTCTATATCCTTTTCACCCAATGACAAACTAGGAATTGTATTACTACGATTGACTATATAAACACGAATCTTAGTTAAATATCATCGATATTTTATTGAAACATTTGCAATGGTATTGCTTGGCTTGTATCATTAATTACACAATGATTTGTAGAAAAGAAGAGGACGGATAAGACCGAATTTTAGCCTTCCCTCATGAATTGTAGATTTTCTATTGGAGTCGAGTCAGGTTCGGTCCTTGATCATATTATTACGACTCGAAGGATGTCAATGTGTATCTTTTCTTTCCCCATACCCTATTCAATGGCAAAATAGGAACGAAATAACAAAGTACGATGGCAATTAGTATTATATGCAATATTTTATAAGGAGTTGCTCTTTCAGAGAAATGCTGTTCTTCTTGATAACACGACGACATCTTTTTTTTTATAGAATACCAATCTCATTCAAATTCTAGAATGTTATAAAATCATAAAAGACGAAAAATTTTGTTTGAAAATTAGCATGCCGTGTATATTATGCCATATTTTGATAACTCAATGTCACAATAACATTTCAACTGACTAAATTTTATTTCTTTTTTACAATATATGCGTCCTCCAATTTCGGTTCTGTTCAATTCAATATTCATTATAATTATTATCGAAGTTAATGGATACACATACATATGAGATGAATGATTAGAAAATTGATCGTATTCTATTTTATTTCTCTCCTTCAAAATCGATTATGTTGTCTTTAAGAATTAATGTAATTAGTTTCGATATTGAATAAAGAAGGTCAATTTTATATAGAAATATAAAGATTTAATTACACTGTATTTTCTTTTTGCGTGGAAGGTTAGTCACAAATTATTTAAATTGATGACGTTTGCTCGTCTATATTGACGATATATGTATAGAAAGCGTGAGAAAACTTTCTCTCTGTATACGCTGATAGAAAAGATAATGTTTTACCATTATTCAACTGATATCTTAGTAATAAAATTTCGATAAGAGTTGTTTTTCTTTTATGATCTGTGACAATAACACGAATACTTATATCAGAGAAAACAAGACAGATAACTTTTTGGATAACTTTTGATAGAAGGAAGAAAGAAATGATGAAATCTCATCAAATTGTATATTACAGATTTTTTTTCCTGTAAGACTTCTCAATTATCAGGTGTGCCTTCAAGTCATCAAAGGAAAATTTATTAAACTACGCAAGGCTTAGATGCTTACGTTGAGTCATTCAGTAGTTATAGACATTCCACTTGAAACTTTACAGCTGTTTTTTTTTAATAGTAATTGATGCAAAAACAAAATCACGTTTTTGCTTTTTTCATTTTGATAAGAAACCACACAAAACATATTAGAAGAATCTGTAATATACGATTCAATAAAAGTTTCCTTTCAATTTATTTTCGCTATTAAAGTATCATTCTCCACTATTGGTAGATCGTCTAACCTCGGTTAATGATTCTAGTGTTTGGATCTATAAATTTTCGACAGGACTCCGTTGGACAGACACCATTTTTATTCAAAACGATGATAGGGACTTAGTATCAGAAATTCAGTAGCTGATAATATCATTGGATTTCTACTTCCAAGTTTCTATCATTTTCCAAGGGAAAATGACCCGTATTTCATGACCTAGATGAATAACTTTTCTCTGAAGGATAGCTTATGAAAATAATATAATTGTGTAAGTTATTTTCATTTTTATGGACTGAAAGACTATCTATTTGTAGTACACATCGTATTATTTCACAAATGAAAATGATACTCTTCAAAACATGATTTATTACAAGTGTGTATTTTCAATTACTAATGGTACCTAATTTGTAAAGTCCTTTTTTTTTCATGTTATGTCTATTTAACGTCAACAGTTGACAATGACAAATGATATTTATTAGACTGAAGGAAACGAATAAATGGTGTGTTACAATTCATAAGATTTATTCTTTATTCGATCTAATACTTTCAGATCAGCAAAGTCTATTGTAGTAAATCATGATTGTATCAAATTGTCTGAAAATTTTTAATACAGAATAGTTAATATATGAAAGATACGTTGTATTGGTAATGTAAGATGATTTGAATATTCCAAATTAGATGATATTGTAATAATAAAATGCGAAAATTTCAATGCTAACAATAGTAATTTAATATTGATTTTATTAGATTTGTGTTATTCGATTGTGAATTACAAAAAAGTGTTTTTTCTTTATTCTGCTATCAATTAGCCTTCAGACATCATGAATAATTATCATATCTCAAGGGATTTCGGTTCTGTTTTTCATATTAGCTCAAAAGATACAAAGAAGATACGTCAAAGTCCTTTTTCTTTCAATTCAATAATTTTTAATCATTTGAAAATTTTCTTCTTCTTAATACATAAAATAAAAATTATCCTATCAATATCAATTCTTATTCGATTGTTTACATAAGTTTTATTATGACATTGATTGAATGAATCAAACGAAAATATTTTTCTTTAACTTATTTATACATTTAACAAATAATAATTCTTGATAGTTATTAATAAATACATCAATAATCAAGGTTTTTTTTAACTTAATTCGAAAAAATTACAAAAAATAGGAATATAAATAAATAATATTTTATTGATATTCGTGAACTATTTGCTGATAGTCGACCATGAATATTCGTAATATGATGATGGTTTAAGACATTTTTTACAGCTTGTATTGTTAATGGTCCATTACATAACATTCGATTACATTTTATAGTCATCAGTGCAAAACTATTAGAATCATAGATATTAACACTAGCAGATTCTTGAGAATGACGTTGACATATACGTCGATGAGTTTTATATTTAATTAGATCATCAATAATTTGACATGAACCAATCATTCTAGCAATAGTACATTGACGTATATCTTCATTTGAATCAAAACAAAGTAAATCATGATCATTGAAACTTTTGTTTCTATATAAAATTCGTTCAAGATCATTATAAATATTTGAAATATTAAATGATCGTTGTGTCATTTCATTGATCTTTTTTTCAGCATAATATCGAGCACAATCATCTTTATCTTTACATACATGATTAATATCATAAGAAAAAAATGTATTCATAGCTACTTCAATCATCATAAAATGTCTATTATCATCGATATTGTCATCATTTAATAAATCACCTGGAAATCTAACAACATAATTTCGACGTTCATACCAAAATACAAGTTTAACTGAACATCGATGACTTGATATATAACTACAATTCGATGATAAAATAAATGATTGATTCATAGAATAAATCATTGTACAATTATTGATACATTGTAAACTGTAAGCTAAATTGAAAATCGATACCGACCATACGAGTAGGAGTATCATTGTTCTATTCTGTTTCTATTAGAAATGGGTACCGGTTTATGTCCTCAATATAAGTAAACAATGGTAGTTTATATGCATATATATATGTATTAATATTGAAGCAAAAACATTCTGTTACTTTTGAGAATGCTCGTATATCATTGTTTATGTTGCTAATATTGATGTCAAACGTCCTTATATTCAGACATTAATGGTAAAGATTGAAAAATGGTTATATATATATATGTAAAAGTGAGAATTCAATGAAGTATTATTTTACAGAAGTCATCCAACAAACAAGGTTTTTTTTTCAATAGAAGGAACAAATATACTCTTTATATTAATGTATGAATTAGTGAAGCAAGGTTTTGTTTTATTTAATGATGTATTATGTCTTCCAAACGAAATCTAAGTTATTCGATTACATCAAATTCTTGAAAACATCTTATGTTGTACTTATTCATGATTTATAAGCAAGACTCTATTATCATCTTAATAGGAAACCGATTAAATTCAATTTTTCTTTTGAATATAAATATAAGATCATTTTATTGATGTCACGAATAAAAATGTCCTTCTAAAGAAACTGTTGTTATTTGATCTTTATTAAATCAATATCATTTTTATTAAATATTGAAACCATTTCAATTATTCTTTTATAATCAACATATGTCGGATGTATGTATATGAACCTTGAATCAGCAGGAAGACAATGGTAGAGGTGAAAATGAAAGCATTAGATGCTTGTAATATGATGCATTAGGGAAAGGCTGTATATAAGTAGGAGAAGGAGAAAAAAAAAGAGAAGAAAAAAAAATCGAACTCAACACATTCGATTAATCTCTCATCATCAAGGAGTTACCCGTTTTCTTTTTTTACTCATTTTTCTCTGTCTGTCATTCAGCACAATCTTAACAACGGTAATCAGACCATAGTTTTATTTTAATGTTCATATGTTGGGTATTATATCGAAAAAAGAAATGAATTGAGAAAGAAATCATTATCAACATTGCATGTATTACTCTGGTATATTGTGATTTTTTTTTGTTTCTTTTATTATATAATTCTGCGAAACATACATTTATATTCGCATGTATATTAGCTAAGAAAAAAGTTAATGGATTTACTTTATTAATACAAAGATGACATGAACCGATGCGTCAAAAAAATAGATAGATAAGATTTTGGTCTATTGCTAACTAATATAAACACAATAAGTAAATACATAAAGTAAGACTACACATAATTAGATAAAGACAAAAAAAAAAAAGACAAGAATTCTTGTTCGATAACAAGCATAGATATAAGTGTTATGTTTTGTTCGCATTCTTGAATATTGTGTAATCAATCAATCAAAATATTATAATTTTTCAAAAGTATAACATAGAATAGAAGTAGAAAAAAATAAAATGAAATATGATGATGACATTATTTTGACAGATATTTATTGATCAAATTTTTCTTTTTCAATTAAAAATGATCATCAATGAAAACATTAATTTCTTATAGTCATTATACCTTGTCAATCAAATAGTTATTGAATTAGGTGAGTAACCCTATGTCATTATTATTTATTTAATATTGATTGAAATTGTGTCTATAGCAAATAGAATATATAATGAGAAATATTATTTGATAGATTTATTCATATAAAAAGAATAATGATAAAAGTTAGATTAAGAAATTCTTAAAATGTTAAATTTGAGAATAATTTTTTTTTCTTTTGTTTTTCTATTGAATGTAACTTTATTCATTACTTTTCTTTTTGATAAATTTTTAAATGAAATGAATAATGAATTTTATAAGAATACATATGTGACCAACATATGTTTTCTTTTTCCTTCATAGTTATTAACAATTTTCTTAAGAAATAATTAATATTTCGAAAATTGACACCCATAAAATTTATTTGCTATATGAACAAAATTCGTCTATGTCAAATAAATAGATGATAAATAATAATTATTGTTTATCAATATCATTATTAAAGAACAAGACAAAAAAAAAAAAGAAAATATTTTATTCTTATATAAATTATTGATAAGAATCAATACATTGTATATATTCTTTGATTAGTATAGAAGTAAATCAGACACAAAATATCCAAAAAAATTTTGCAAAATATATCTTCTTCATTGCCAATGGCTTTTCTTTTTTTATGTCCATATGTATGTCTCGTTTTACACTCACATGATTTGTTAGTATTTGTTATAATTAATCAGTAATAAATACAATACAATAGTGACAGGGACACAAAATGTTCTATAAGAGAAGAAAAACCGCATACATATAACGAGAGAAAGAAAAAGTAAAAGATTATAGAATAATAATCTGTTCGACGAGACTATGTATATATATGCAAGCGGTTAGAAATGTATAATAACGAGCACGCACGTCTCGAAATAGTCGATAGCGGGATTTTATTCAATACATCCTGCTAACATTTGACGATATTACGAGCGTTGGCGTCTTGAGATCAATATCATATCAATAAATAACGACTTTGGTATTTGTAGTCGTGTATCATCATCATCATCATTATTATTATTATTTCTTTACTAATCATAGCAACTAAGATTCATCATATATGTTCGAAGACGCAACAGATGTGTTTGTAGATTTGTCTGAATATACTTTCTTCATGGACAATATATCAATCGGCACCCGTAAGATTGTCTAGTCTTTCATTCTGTACACAATTTTATAGATATAAATCGATCGAACAAATTATATGCTTGCATGGATGCATGTATTACCTGTCTGCCCATGGCTCACAATCTCAGTGTCATCTGCCACTTTTTTTTTATTTTCCCTTATTCTTTTTCATTTTGTATGTTCAAAAAAAGAAAAAAAGAAAAGAAGAATACGATAGCTACACTAAGGGAGAGCAAGAGAATAAGAAACGCAAGCAATCATTCGAGCGTTCGATCAACGCATCCAATATATAAGCAATATTTTATATAAGAAAGAAAATCGTGCTCATTATTCTGTTTGTGTCCCTCAGTTTTTTTCCACAAGCTCAAAAGAGAAAAAAGAAAAGACACGCAATGCGAACAAAGCAAAATCGAACTACGTAAGCAGATATATATATATACATACATACATATTCTTTAATATTCTTAAATAAAAAAGAACATAGAAAGAACAACAATTCTTATCTATTTAGTATGTACAATACTGTTATAAAATCTTCATCAAGTCTTTCATTGACTTCAAACGAATCAACATCACCTGGTACAATAAATTCTAATATATCACCTATTATGCGTAATGATTATAGTCTTGATAGTGTGTGTTGTACAAAACGAAGTTTACATACATTTTCACATATGTGGATTGTAGAAAATTTTTCATCATATCTTGAAGATCCCGAACCAATTATTTGTTTATCATCAGCACCATTTAGTCCAATATCAGGTATTAGTATATCAACACAATGGCGTCTTGTTTGTTATCCAAAAGGCAATTATGGTGCATCATCAAATTATATGTCAATTTTTCTTGAATATATTAAAGGTGAACGTGATATAAAAGCTAAAGCTGAATATTCACTTGTTAATCGTAAATGTGAATTAACAGAAATGCGTAAAGATGTACAATTTTCTGTTTATAAATGTGGTAATTCACGTGGTTTTATTAATTATGTTAAATATGATACGTTAACATTACTCGAGAATGAAACACTCGATGATGATAAACTTAAAATATATGTACGTATAACAATAATGGATGATGCTATAACAGAAGAAACAAAATATCAAGAATTTGATGATAGTGAAAGTATTAATTTTACTACACGTGGTCTTGAAGGTCTTGTAAGAGATTTTACACAACTTTTACTTCATCCATCAGCAAGAATGAGTGATATTAAAATACGAGTTACTGTACCATATACAGCATATGATGATGATTCAATTCAATCACCTGTTATTTTTCATGCTCATAAATTAATCCTTGCTGCACGTTCACCTGTATTTGCAGCAATGTTTTCAAATCGTACTTTAGAAAATACAACAAATACAATTGATATTAATGATTTACATCCAAATACAATTCAATCTATGTTGGAATATATCTATACAGGCAAAGTAACAGATATAAAAAAATCTACAGTTGAATTATATCGTTGTGCTGATAAATATCAATTAGAAGATTTACGTTTACAAGCTGAAATGGCTTTAATGAATTCTATATCAATTGAAACAAGTGCTGAAATATTATTACTTGCTGATCAACATCATTCAAAAGATCTTAAATCTCGTGTTATTCAATTTATTGTTAATGGAAATCTCAAGGCTATAATACAAACAGATGGTTGGCATAAATATGTTGCATGTATTCCAGATTTAGTTACGGAAGTAATTCAAGCAACAACTATTGAATAAAAAAAACAAAACAAATCATTTTTTTATTCTCTTCTATCAAGGCCTAGTCACCTTTTAACTTATACTTATCAAGGACAGACTATCGATGTACAGATTCTTTTTTCTTTTTTTTTTTTTTTACTATATTGAAAATTCTGTTTTTTTATTTTGTTTCTCCTTGAGTTTTAATGATATGAACATATGTTGAGAGATATGTAGCGATAAAGGACACTCAAATTTTCTTTTTTTTTGTGTTTGTCATTTATTATATTGAAATGTCCCTGTAAAAAGGTGACTAGTATATTAATCCAACTTCACACTATCATGGTTGAATAAACAAGAAAAAAAGAAAAGAAAAAAAAACCGATAATGTCATTTTTATATTTTAACATGTAAGATTGGTAGCTGTAGTATTTGAATTAGTAATTATTGTTGATTGTCATGTTGTATTTTTATCTATAGCCGTATTAAGAAGTTGTTGTAATTGTTCAATATCTTCTTGATTTGATGAATGATGATCGGAATCTTAAAATTTAAATTTCAATGTTAAATATATATATATATACATATGTTTATATGATTGAAATACCTGGTGTTGTAGGTGGAATAAGATCTCTTTCTTCTAAATAAGCTATTGATGATGTTAAAGAAGTTAATTGTAATGGATCATCCATTTCTAAATCGATACTTTCTGATTTACTTCGAAGTTTTGTTGATTGATGACATTCAAGTGTACTTTTAATTGCTGTTGGAGTATGTTTTATTGTTTTTATTTTATTATTAAAATCATCTTCAGATGTTCGTATTGATGCTGATGATGAAGATGATGTTGGCCATGTTTGAGAAAAACTTATTATTTGAGTTGGTGATGGTTGTTGTAATTCATCAATACTATTCACAAATTCAGATGTTGCACTATCGGAAATAGTTGGAGTTGGTGATCGATCGAGTAAATTTATAAGTGAACTTGTTTGATCTAATAAAATTATAATTATATTGAATAACAAATAGTAATGCAAGAATATTTATATATAAAGAACTTCTTTATTTAAAAAATATTCATACATTGTTGATCTAGTATAAAAGCGTAAGTAAGATACTAGTTTTTTTTAAGTAATAGAAAAAGTAGACATAAAGAATTTACACTTTTTTTTCTTCAACGATTTTAAATCGTCTCAGGTTAGAGCTTGACAAAGTACTTGAGAAAGAAATACTTTCTCTATCTAATGATGTATGTTATCATGTATCTTTGACATGTCAATAGGAACACTGATTTTGTGGCATTTGACCTCAATCATGGCAAAGGTGGCGTCCCTTGTTGATGTCTCAAGAATACACTATTACATAGAGAAAGTCTCGCTCTGCAAACTTACATATATCGTCTTCTACGATCAACAAGTACGTATGTTTATCTTTTGAAGAATTAGTAAATAGCTAATTTCTTTCATCCCATAATCTAATGCAAAAAAATGTATCTATAGATAATTAGATTGTAACTGCGTTGAATACATGTTTTAATGTAATTGGATTCGAAAAATGTTCTGTAAGCCTTCATTTTATATATTTTATTTTTTTTTTTATTTTATTTGAAAGAACATGTCACACCATGGAGCCATCATTTTCAATTCTTACTTTTTAAGCAGAGAAATATACTGACAAGTTCATTACCGCTTAAAATTCTGAAAAGAAGTCATCTATTTATAGAAGTACTTTTCTATACAATAGAACAAAAGTTTGATTCTAAAAATGGATTCTGTCAGGTGCTGCGGCTTCACATGCTCTTAGAAATAAAAGGGAAAAGATTGATTTTTTTAAATGGAAGAGTCTTAAAAACTTGAATAGCTACCAAAATTCATTGTGATGTGTAATTTATAATAAAAGAAAAATAACTATAAAATTTTCAACAGAAAATATTGATTTACTTACCAGATTTCGAAGCAAGATTACTTTCAGCAAGAAGTTTTTCTAATTCTGCTACACGATTAGCTAATATTCTATTGAATAATAAAAATAAATAAAATTTGTATTGTGTGTTGTTGTTTTTTTTCGTGTTTGGTAAAAACATACTTATTTGTTTTTCTTTGATGAATAATTGTTATATTTTTATCTTTTATATTTTCATATAAAGCTTCTGCAATTGATCGTAAATCTTGTTCAGTATCTGCTGTATTTGGAACAAGGTAACTTTGATTTATTAGACTTCGAACTAAATAATAGAAAAAATTACGTTGAAAAAAAAAAATCAAAAAGAAATCCTTCGTTTTTGTATTTCTACCTTGTTTATTAGTTAATATATTTCCTGAAGATTGTACTTTTCCTAAACGATTATATGCCGAACGATGTGTTTGTAAAAGATCCTAAAATATATTCAATTGTATAACTTTGTTGACTATTTTCTAAAGATGTACTATTGAATATTCTATTCAGATAAGAAGACTTAATCTTTATAGATATGTTAGAAAATTTTAATGCATCATTATCCACTTAACACGTATTTCATCATGTTATTTTCTACGAGGAAAAAACGCAAAAAGTTTAGTTTTAATGAAATTAATGTTAATAGACTGTCATAAGTGCTATAAAAGATCAAAACGTTCATCAATACATCCTAATAGATCTGTACTGATTTCGTCTTGAATATTTTTCATTATCTTCAGTTGAAATGAAGGTTTTATTATGCTCTATGGATCAAACTCGGTGCTTTTAAATGATATATTGAAGACGACATAATGAAAAATCTAGATCAATTGACAGAACAGGTCCTTTTCACTTGTATTGATTGTTAAAACCGAAATTCAATAATTTTCGGCGTTTTCTGACTTTTTTTTTTCTTGTAGGAAATGACATAACAATACACTTGTTTAGTGTTAGTAGTCTATTAAATCAAAGTTTTATCACTTTCATGAATAGAGTTACATGCAAAATAAAAAATGTTGAAAAACCTTTGTCATACCCAGTATATATATATGCTTTTAGAAAATACAAAATTTTCGAAGCTGGACTCTAGATCCCATCTATCAAAACGTTAACAGTACGCAGTAGAACTTTTAATAATGCATACCCTATTATATAGAGATAGTCTTTCTTTAGAAGCCCTACATATATTTCTTTCTGTAGTCAAAAAATCATGGAAAAAACGTATAGTTTTGTTTAATATTAAAATATTTAATTTACTTTATATTTAGCAGTATTAGCTGCGAGAAGATTTTTTTCTTGTATTAATTCATTTATTTTTTCTTTTAAATATCTAAATAAAAGTAATGAATAAAAAATAAAAAAGAACAATATTATTCATATTAATTTAGAAAAATCATACCGATTTTCGGATAGAACAAGTTCAATATCAACAATATGTTTTTCATTACCATTTAAAATTTTATTTAATTCTTGATTTAATTTACTATATTTTGTTTTAAATGAATCACGTTCAATTTCAAGTTCTTCTTTTTGACAAACAATTATTTTTAAATCATTATCAAGTTGATTGATCTACAGAAAACAACAACAACAACAAAAAAACATAGATAAATTCAAACATTTTAACATACTCGTTCATTAGATTGTTCTAAACGTTTTAATAATATTGTTTGTTCTTCATTATGATTATTAAGTTCTTTATCATCATGATCTTTTTGTGTACTATTAATACGAGTTCGATGACGTTTTTGACGAAAAATCTAAATCATATAATGAATCTTGTCTTTTTTAATAATTGAAAAAGTAAAATAAAATTTTTTTACTGATAAATCGCCTTTAACATCATTGAGTTCACGTGTAAGTTCATCTATTTTTGTTTGTAATGTTTCTTTTTCATCTTGAACATTTTTCAAAGCTGTTTTTAATAGATGAATTGTTGGCTAGATGATTAAAAAAGAAATATCTATTAATTAAAACAAAAAATGAATTCAATTATAAGAAGAATTTGTTTAGTAGATGCTAACATGCATTTTTTTTGCGTATTCGTGCTGTTAAAAATCCTAACAAACCTCTTTTTCTTTTAATGAATCATAGTTTATCTGAATAAGTTTGATA